AATTCAAAATTCAAAATCATTTATTCATGTAGGACATTTTAGCAGCGAACGTAAAATTTTTTATATTATATTGTTTCTCTACCGTCCAGTTCAGTATATAGATCCAATTGAACTGGCAAGAAACTCAATTGAATTAGTTTTTTTTAAAGCCAGTTAATTTACAATATATATATAGGTGTCTATGTCTAAGATTAAATGAAAATCCCGTGCATGAACAACTATAGCCATGCACGCTCGTCATTCAAGTAATCGTTTAGTACAAATACAAAATACAAATAATCTTTATTCAAACGAACTTAATATAAGCACTTTTGAATAGTCAAGTTTTTTTAATCTACCGCTTATTCGGAATGCAGATTCATCACAAGAAGAATAAGCAAGAAACTTGTGTGTTGCTCTTTTAAATAAATATTGATTTACTTATATTTAATTAACAACAAGGATTAGGCATGCGACAATCAACATAGAAACCGCTACGCACTTAATCTCTGTTCAATCAGATAACATTGTCAGCGCTATGAATTTTAAGTTAGATATTTTCTACAAAAACATTATTATCATTTATAAAGTGAGTAATGAAATCTCACCATAGATCTCGCTTTAGAATTTCTAAGTGAGGCTTACAGAATAGCTCTATTGATCTCAATGCAGAGTTACAGATACGTCAGTTATCTATGTTTGATTACAGATTTTATGATTTGTTTATGGTTTATCTTGTTTGCGAGTATAGAATACACTTTGATCAAAGACTGGAATGTTCCCTAAATTCTGAGTTTATGTTCCTATTCGTTTGGATGTTTTTTTAAATGTTACTATAACAATTTCTGAATAAGAAATAGCCTATGTACATCCTCGTGATACATTCTTAGGAAATTTCATAGAAACTGTTCAATATTGCAGGGGTGAAAAGGTAGGCAAGAAACGGGATTGTCAGTAATGTGGACTGTTGACCCCATTGCTAGCAATGTCAGGCTGACCTCCACGCGAGTTCCCCTGGAAACCATCATGATAAATTTCTGGTGAATTTGCCACAATGGACTGACTGGCCTAACCTCATGCTCATCCTATTATCCTACTAGAGCCCCACCAGCGCAATTCCTTAGTGCAGGCATAACATTATCGTCCTTTAAAAATAAAAAGTGGTGAACAGGTACCAACTATACGAACATACAGATACACTTTTGAAATGTTTGTATATATCCATAAGTGCATCGTAGATTACTAGTTATAAGTCTTGTAATTTATGTCGCAAGTTTAAATTCGACATTAAACTTTGTGACCGATTCTGCAGTGAAACAAACGCCGACTAACAAGCAAATATAAAATCAAACGACAAACTAAATATAAAACCTGACTTCGTACAAAGTGTCCTGTGAACTTATTTTAATTACTGTGTATACCGTAGAGACTCGCAGGATTAAGATAGACGCGTTACCGCATGGGCTCGGTTCGAGTCCTCGCACGGTACAAATATTAGTATTTATGAGTACTATAAAGCATCTGAGACATTTCCAGGAGCCTAACAAATCGATTGACTAGATCAATTGATTGGTTAGGGTCCACAAACATACTTGTACATATGCTGATAAACACAGTACCCTGCTTCACATGAGCAGTCGGGTAAAAAGGGTTCGCCATTTACGAGCATTTTATGAGCAGTCGTGTAGACTGCTCATAAAATGCTGGTAAAGGATGATAAGTAAAATTTGTATACAATTATCATATCAAATGAAATCAAAAATAATTTATTCATATAGGACATTTGAGCCGTAATTTTTTTTTCTATTAACAATTTTTTTCTACCGTCCAGTTCTGTGTACTGACAGATTCAATTGATGTCTCTCAATCTATGCTAATATTATAAAGCTGAAGAGTTTGTTTGTTTGAACGCGCTAATCTCAGGAAACTACTGGGTCGAATTGAAAAATTCCTTTTTTGGACAGACCATTTGTCGAGGAAGGTTTCCTTATATAGTATAAAACAAAGTCGCTGTCGCTGTCTGTCGGCCCTATGTATGTATTTAATAGATAGAGTGATTCAAGAGGAATGTTTATATATATATTACATGTACACCCGTGCAAAGGCGGGGCGAGTAGCTAGTTAAGCTATATAACATTACGCTACGACCAATAGGAGCGGAGTTGCAGTGATAATTATTGTAAAAGGTAATAATAATAATCTCAGGACAATTCACACAGCGCCATCTATACCCAAGTTAAACTAGCTAAAGCTTGTATTATGGGTACTAGATAACTGATACATATACATAGATATATATTTTTTGTAAATACATACATATTATAAATAGAAAACATCCAGATCGATACAAACAATCATACTTATGAATGCAAATGTGTGCCGTGCGAGGAATCGAACCCGCGACCATCGGTCGTAAAGCGGTGTGCTAGACCACTAGACTACCGAGGTCGTCTAGGTGGAGAGATGAAACGCAGACGAAGTTGAGTGTAAGATAAGTTGTTTAAAACCTATGATTAGAGACAGTGTTTGCGCGCAATTTTTTCTAATAATAGTATGTAATCATGCGACTTGTCGAGGACTTACGCAATGGTCGATGATCCCTGCGCATGAGTCGGCCAATTTCGACCAGTTTCACCGTCCGCCGTCCGCCGTCCGCCGTCCGCCGTCCGCCGTCCGCCGTCCGAGTGGCAACGAAAGTGAGAGCTTAGCGAAGCTTTCTTTGATAATAAGTCTCGGCGACGTAATAGCAAATAATTAGCGGTTTAGACACAGACCGATGACTGGTTGTGCCCCGCGGGTGCGCTTGTTAATTTATAAGATATTTTCTGCATATTGCATCATTAGGAATTATTGAAAATGGTGTGACAAACAGTGTGTCGGACTCGGTGGTGTAGTGGTTTAGCACACCGGTTTACTTTCGTTGGTTGTGGGTTCAATTACTCGCATGGTATTAACATTTGTATATATTAGTATGATTGATTTTTGTTTTGCCATATAAACTAAAATCGCTATTTAAAAATAGAGGTTGGTGATAGAAGGGTGAAATTTTTTTTACAGCCCTATTATAGGCGTATTTTTAAAGCTGTCCCGGCAAACGTTGTTTTGCCATATAAATTAATAACGCTATAAAAATAGGGGTTGGTGATAGAAGGTGAAAATATAGGGTTGTAAGTATTTTTAATGACACATAACAAAAAAAAATATAAAACAAAAATTTTTGGCCAAAAAATAAAAATATAATGTTAGGGGTGGAAAGCCCTTACCACTTAGGGGTATAAAAATAGATAGTAGCCGATTCTCAGACCTACTGTATATGCATTTAAAATTTCATAAAAATCGGTCAAGCCGTTTCGGAGGAGTACGGTAACTAACATTGTGACACGAGAATTTTATATATATATATATAATGTAGATATTTACAAAAAATATATATGTATGTATTTATATCAGTTGTCTTGTACCCAAAAACACAAGTTCTGCTTAACTTGTCACTAGATAGCATTGTGTGAATTGTCTAGATTAATATTTGACAAAAAAGCGGTTTTATAATTAGTAATACATTATTCAGCCTTCTGTCAAGCCGGATGTTTGCTTTGTATGCCGGGCGAGGATTATAATTATGTATGTGTAAATTGCATAACGAGAATGATATGTGCTTTACGAGTATAGCGTAATACAAGTAGTTTAAAAAGCTATTATGGAATAATAGAATATTCTGCACATTTGCTCGTAAATTCTATATAATTGCACGGGTTTTCATTATACAAAGTAGCTTATAAAATAAAACACACGTGCGTTATAAACCCGAATAGTGAAGTTATATTCCATAACAGCACCCCTCTGATCGATCCCCCGTCCAATCCAAACGGGGATCGAAATTACGACAGTCTGAGCCGAGGTTCGAACCCCTAGTGGTGCCCTCAGACTAAAGTCGTATCCGTCAGACGGGAGTTGGCCTTCAGCCGCTCCATAAGTCCTTCCGCTGGTTTGAAATCCGATAGGGGCGAGTACTATCTGCATCAACCGGCCAATAGCGTTATTTAGATAGGGTTCTGAAAAATATACTAACTGTGCCGCGATTTCACCCGCGTTAAATTTCAATAAAAAACATAGACTATGTGTTAATCTGATGCGGAAGCTATATTCCTGTAAAGTTTCATCACAATCCGTTCAGTAGTTTTTGCATGAAAGAATAATAAACATTCATACTCACACACTTTCGTATTTATAATATTATATATTAATATGTACATAAAATTAACGACCTTGGTGGTCCAGCGGTCTAGTACACCGCTTTACGACCGATGGTCGCGGGTTCGATTCCTCGCATGGCACAAACATTTGTATTCCTGAGTATGATTGTTTGTATCGGTCTGGGTGTTTTCTATATATAATATGTATGTATGTATTTAAAATTAAAAAAAAATATCTATGTATTTGTATCAGTTATCTAGTACCCATAACACAAGCTTTAGCTAGCTTAACTTGGGTCTAGATGGCGCTGTGTGAATTGTCCTAAGATTATTATTACATATATATATATTTATTATATCTCCCTTTTTACGGGGGTAATATAGTCAAACACGCGGGCCTTAGCCAAGCATGGATGAGTTATGTGATGAAGATAGAAATTTTCTGACTATTCGGCATGTGTTTAGTATGACGGCTTTTTGTAATAGGTCTATTGTAGAGGAGGGGATGTGCAACGTGTCTAGGTGTTTAGATTATTATTATTATTATAATTAAGTCTATTTGAATGTTTTAATATTTGTATGTATTACAAATAGACTTTTTCTTATTGGCTTGTATTGGCTATTGTCAGGTGCATGGACCTGTAGCGCTGCGACCTACATAGATCTATTGTGCTCGCCCTTTTCAAAGTTCGCTACCAAGACCCGTCAGGGACAAGAATTGAAGGATATTCTTAGGAGCGATGGTTTTTATCTCCTCGGGAAAAAGTGTAAACTTTACAAAGGAGATATTTCGTTTATACATGAGTGGGCTACTACAGATGGACTTACAAGTTTCCGGAGCACGCGCTCGTCCCAGCACTGGTCTAGGTCGATGTGCTGCACGCTGCGCTCACTGGTCACCTTACCACCGCCGCTGCAGACTGTCTCCTGCGCAATACACAATACAGACTTATCACTACGACTCATTTAATCTTATTGTATATATATTTGACCCTTATGGGACACAGTCACCTAGATACATCAAAATAATAATACGAAGGACTTTTTGGTTGTCAAACGCAAAGGAAAAGTATTCACAATCAAGCGTGACGAAAAAGAAACAAATGTGTCAATAGATAGACTCAAGCCAGCATTCATAATAAACAACGAAGCAATTGCTGGCGAGGCAGAAACAGGACACCGCTCGTCAACAGCTGACATCCAACCTTTGAAAGTGACACGTTATGGACGCACATCTTATCCTACAGTGAGATTTAATTTGTAAAAAAAAAATATTTTATGAATTTATATTGTTCATAATTAACTTTTATAATTTTTTTGTGTGTAATATATATATTTTTTTCTCTCAAGGGGGGAATATCTATGGGACACAGTCACCTAGATACATCAAAATAATAATTGCATTTAATAATGTCTAGTAAGACAAATTCAATATTGTCTACTAGGCACTGCTGTATCTAAACTGTGTCACCCCACCTTACATTTTCCTATTTTTATTTAGTATATAAGATCATTATTTCTATGTATATATTGTCAGTTTATTATCATCTGTAATAATACATCGTCTCGACCAGCAACATCGTAATATTCACCCGCAACAACCCTAATAAATTAGTGCTGGTTGGTAGTTTGTATTCACACGTTTGGACTTGTAATATGTGAACATACAAGGATTATTTAAAAGAGGTACACACAAGTTTCTCGCTCGTTCTTCTTGTGATGAGACAGCTTTCCGAACGAGTGGTAGATTACAAAAAATTGTTATGACTATTCAAAAGTGCTTAAATTAAGTTTATTTGAATAAATGATTTTCTATTCTATTCTACAGTTACGATTTATTTACAAAGGGGACCAGTGACCCCATTATTATGACTAACAATGTAGGTACCATATCAGGTTGATCTCCAGTCCACGGGGAAACTGTCGTAGTTAATTCCTAGTGAATTAGCCACGATCAGTATACTGACATCACTTGATATCATCCTCGACTGGTGCCCTGACAGCGTATACCGTCAGCGTCAGGCTGGAGCAACATTTCAATATCTCTCATAAAAATTAGTAACTCCATTTAAAATCACATCACTACACTCGAACAGTGCGGTTTCAGAGGAGCTTCCTCCCGCGTACACTTAGGTTGTGGAATGAACTACCTGCCGAGGTTTTCTCACGAGACTACAGCATGGGGTTTTTGGAGAAGGGTTAAGGTTTCTTAAGAGTCGGCAACGCGCACGTAACACCCCTGGTGTTTCAGGCGTCCATAGGCTACGGTAACCATTTACCATCAGATGGGCCGTATGCCTGTTACCCACCATAGTAGTATAAAAAAATACCGTTACGATCTGGGTGAACAGTGTTACAACTACACTGAAAAACGATCAAAGACCGTTCACCGGATCGTTCAGTTCTATTCTGGTACTGAAAAACTATCGTAGTGAAAAAGACCTTGCGGAAATGGCAGAGGGCGCCCTTCGTACTTCTATTTTTATTTCACATTCTTAACGCAACAGCAATCTGAACTCAATAGTTAAAAACGTTATAAACAATTCTATACTAGGGATGTGACATACTGTATAAAATATATCGATTGTTAATTTATCGATACATTTTCATATATAATACGAAAATGAAAATTTATCGATAAATTTTCATATATAATATGAAAATATATCGATAAATTAACATTCGAATAAATAAAAATCTATATTACATATAAAAATACTTTTCAATAATTTAATTTTTAATTATCAAATACACAATGAACTGGTTAATAAGATTAAATCTTATTTAGTTAATAAACCAGTTTATAATAGTTAACCAGTTTATTGTTGACTCTACGGTATTAGTGCTAGTTGTTGGTTTGTATTCACACATTAAAACTTAAAAATGTAAAGTTACAACGATTATTTAAAAGAGCAACACGCGAGTTTCTTGTTCCTTCTTTTTCTTGTGACGAGACAGCTTCCCGAATGAGCGATAGAATAGTATACTGTACATAAGTGAAGAAATTTAAGTTTATTTTAATAATGCATTTTCAAGTGTAATCACATTTTTTTACCTTCTTGTTTATTTTACATCACGACTTGATTTTGATCTTTTAGACAGATTAAATAAAAAAATCGTGTGTGAAAAGAAACGATTTTAGTTTATGTGAGATACGAGAATCGATAAGCTAGATATTCTTTATTGAAATGAAAGCCGTAAAGATCGATAGATTAATCGATATTTTCAGGATCGATTATGTTTCCCCATCCCTATTGTGTAGTTCGTGGTGAACTAAATATGTGGGATACTTCGCAACCCTGCGGCTGGTGTGGTCAGAACTGGGTTAATTGTGTATATTGGATAGTGTTATTCAGTTGCAATATTACAAGCTGTTGATAGCACTATTTAGTGAGCTCTACATCAGCATTTTAATGTGTTTTTAGTGGAGGATATTGCTATTGGGTGGATTCGATATATATATATATATATGTACAAATATATAAAATTCTCGTGTCACAGATTTCGTGTATATACTTATACTCCTCTGAAACGGCTTGACCGGTTTTGACGAAATTTTATCTGTATATTCAGTAGGTCTGAGAATAGGTTTATAACTAATTTTTATACCCATAAGTGTTAAGGGTCGCTCAACACCAAAAATTTTATTTTTAATATTATGACCACATTTTTTTTATTGTTTTTATGTGACATTAAAAATTACATACTACCCTAAATTTTCACCCTTCTATTAGCAACCCCTTTTTTTAATAGCGATTTTAATTTATATGGCAAAACAATATTTGCGGGATCAGCTAGTATCTATATATACGAGTAATATAGCTACAATAAAAAACTATATACATTTTTGACGTTTCATTTTGATTATTATAATAAAGAAATAGATTTATTATATTTATTTATTTGCTTTTTATTGCACCAGAGATAATACAAAGAACATAAACAGAGAGTAAGTAATAAGGTACAAAAGGCGGTCTTATCGAGTACGCAATCTTTTCCGACAACTTTTTGTAGAGTTGTAGAGGTAGAGGTAGAAAAGGTAGAGGAGAGAAGATCGAAAGTGGTAGATGGATGGTTATAGTGAATTAACAATAAGATAAAAACAAACATACAGCTAGTCTGTTTGGTGGTAATACTATACTAGCGATCCGTCCCGGCTTCGGACGAATGCATTACAAATCTTTGAATTTATCGGCTTATTCTAGACTATAACATGCATGTATTATAAATTAATACACTAGCCATCCCCTCGGTTTCACCCGCGTCATATTTCAATATAAAATATAGCCTATATGTTATTCTAATGCAGAAGCTATATTCCTGTAATATTTCATCCAAATACATACAGTAGTTTTTGCGTGAAAGAGTAACAAACATCCATATTCACAAACTTTCGCGTTTATAATATTATTAAGATATAAACCTTCCTCTTGATTCACTCTATCTATTGCTGAAAACTGCATTAAAATGAGTTAATTTAAAAGATATAAACGAACAGATAGCGGCGGCGACTTGGGTAGAGCCATAAACTAATGTCATAAGAAGTAATTTAGGTTATTTTATTAAAAAAATCACTATTAGATTCTCCGCGAACAAAGGCGTTTATGCTATAAGAAGTCATGTAGGTCATTTTATTTAAAAAAAATTGTTTATTTTGACTCTACGCGGACAAAGTAGCGGGTAACAGCTAGTAGTTAATAAAGTGCATGTTCTAGAGCCAATCTATTTACGTTGATGATATAGTAATAAGTTGCTACAAACTGCTCACACGTATTATAAGGAAACAGGTAGAATGTATTTGTCATTCCGGGTTGGATCCACGCCCAGTCCACGCTGGAGACTAAAGAGACTTCTATACATATAAATAAAATTGGAGTATCTGTTTGTAATATTGAAATAACCGTTTTTTACTACATGCATATGGATATAAATACGGTAAATACACCCAAAATAACATTTTTTACAATTTTTGTCTGTCTGTCTGTTTGATCCGGCTAATCTCTGAAATGGCTGGACCGATTTTGACGGGACTTTTTTTGGCAAGTAGCTGATGTAATAAGGAGTAACTTAGGCTACTTTTATTTTAGAAAAATAAAGTTAATAACCACGTGGACGAAGTCGTGGGTACAGCTAGTGCAAAATGTCTTTATTCATGTAGGTCTATTACAGACTCTTATGATATGTCAAATCTACCGTCAGATCGGAATTGGCGGTTTATAGATCTTACAATACGACCTTACAATGTAGACCACAATTCACTATTCAATATTACGATACTAGAAACATAGTTTCCAGAGCTGATTTTCTGTTGAGCCCACAACACGGACCCAAATTACAATATAAAAGAGGTTCTTAAAGAACGACAAATTTAGAAAGAAGGGGTGTGTCATTGCCATGGTTATCAAGGTTGCAATTCCATTACCCGTAACACAATTTTTTGCGTCACCCAAATTCGAACTTAGGACACCCTTTTTCGGAGTTAAGTTATTGAACCAAACCACTAGGCTATAACAAGGTTGTCAAGGTTGCAATTCCATCACCAGTAACACAATTTTTTACGTCAGCCAAATTTGAACTTAGGACTCTCTTTTTCGGAGTTAAGTTATTGAACCAAACACTAGGCTATAACAAGGTTGTCAAGGTTGCAATTCCATCACCAGTAACACAATTTTTTAAATTCGAACTTAGTACTCTCCTTTTTGTAGTTACGTTACTAAACTACCAAGCCATGATGCTATTATTAACTTTAATATTTAATGAACACATAACTGTGGTAACTCTACTGCTGCAATATTACTAAAACCGGTGCAACATTAAAACTTGGTAGTGAAAACTGCATCAGTTTCTCATGGTCGTTAATGGTCGTAATGTGGACAGGTTAGATCGGAGTACTCATTTAAAGTACGAGAAAACATTTTAAATAGAAC